TCTTCCCAGATGATTGACTGCTGAGACCTTATTATAGAATTAGTTTAAATAAAACATAGCTTTCTTAGTGAATCAAACACTTAGGATTCTGAAATTTCTTCCAGCTATACTGGTACCTCTGTCCATGTCACCCATACTTTCATCGTCTTATATTAAAAACTAGTCAATCTTGATGATAATGAGACCTGATGGTTTCTAGTCCATTGGTTTGCTCTCATGTCTCAGTACTGGTTTGGGAGGTTTTCTAATGAACCAAGAGAATGGGAGGTCTCTAAATAAGCACAGTAAACAGGAACAGTCTTACAGCTGTGTATTCAATCACCTGTTTATGGCTTTAAGCAAATTTACCATTCGGAAACCTTTTCAGTTAGACTCAGTTACTTGATTGTATTAGCATGGATGTCGGCATGAAGCTAATTTGAAAAGGATGCTCATGTGGAGAGCTTGGTGATATTTAATCAGCCACACTTAGTAGGGCCTGCTTTCAGCTGGTTTCAAAAGCGATAGTTGTGATGTTTTAAATTTAGTTATTTCAGATCCAGTAGGTGATCCCAGAGCCAGTGACAAAGAGCATTCAGTAGAGGGCACTGTGAGCATTTACTGTGAAGGCTGTGGTCTGGCTCAGTTCCTTGAGTTTCCTTTCGTGCTCGTCAGCTCCTGTGGAGTAAGTTGGTGTGAAAGACACATCCAGCTAACATTAGCCGCTGAGGAGCCGGGTGAAACTGGTGGTGGATCCACGAGAATGTGTAATTAATCTTCGGAAAATTACAGTTGGAGGTAATTTCTTTTCCACTGTCATAATGGCTTCGATTATAAGGCTGTTTGTTAAGTAGGGGCGGACAGTTTTTAAATAGGAGCTGACATTTTACACGTAGTTCTCGCTGTGGTGAAAGGTAGATGGACAGATTGTGGCTTTACCGTAACTAAGACTGACCCATTTTCCTTGAGGAGGGCCTACAAGTCGAGCTGTACAAGCACGTTATTCTTGGGGCTTCCTGTCGGGGGCTCACTGTCATGGACACATGGCAGGGTAGCTCTCAACCGTGTGTCTTCAGTTCCCCTGCTGGCTGCGGAAACCTTGGCTTTGAGTCATGAAACTTTGTCAAGGATGTTCCTCAATAATACATATGTCCAAATGCTGCTTAAGAATATAAATACATCGGTTTACTTTGTCCTAATCATCAACATTATCGTGTAATGATTTTGAGCATTGCAAACCTGGAGCATCCTGACCTATTATACATAGAAAATGATAATAAATAGTGCTGGGGTCTCCTGCCACAGCAGCCTTCATTTAAGCTTGAGTCTCTGTCCGTCAGCTGCATCTTACGCATTTCCTGGGGTCTAGGAGCTCTGGTACCTCTAAGGCTGCCAGAAGAATCAGGTTCAAGGAAACATGTTTCATCCGTCTTCTATCCAAAAACCAAATCATCTTTGAATTGAAAGGGTTTTTTTGGTCATCTCTTGCATCCTGTCACAAAAAACAATCGGCTGAAAGTAACTCCTTTCCCATGTCTGTGTAACAAGCAAACTTCCTAGGTGGCTTGCCCCAGGTACAGGGACTTAAAATAACCTGACAGAACTTTTTCATGTAAATGAAAGGTCTAAATCCTAAAAGCAAATACATCTGTAATATTTATAGTCTCCTGTTCGTGGTCTTTCTACACAAAAATTCTGAAAGAAATAGTTTTATATACGTAAGTGTAAAACTTCCTAGAAGCCGTACACGTGGCTCTGCCTAGCCATAGTTCCTGTACCCACGCTCAGTGGAAATCGCTGTTTCACGCCCCTGTATATATGCTGTTGTTGAATTGCTATGTGTTTATGTCTGTCTGGGAAGGTATTTGGTTAATATTCTTGTGAGAGAGTCGTATTCAGTGTTGTATTTCGAATGCTCTTGGGTAATGCTGATAGCACTATGCCAGGAGCACCTGGTGAGAGTCACTGCTCTGATGGAGCCTGCAGTTAGTCACCGCTGAAGCCTGCCCCCTTCCCCTCCACCTGCTGCGAAGCGGAGGCTTGGCACACTCTTCCTATAAAGGGCTAGGTAGTCCGTAGTAATTCATTTCTTTTTTTTTAAAGATATTTATTTATTTGACAGAGCAACACAGCGAGAGAGGGAACACAAGCAGGGGGAGTGGGAGAGGGAGAAGCAGGCTTCGGGCGGAGCAGGGAGCCCGATATGGGGCCCGATCCTAGGACCCTGGAATCATGACCTGAGCCGAAGGCAGATGCTTAACGACTGAGCCACCCAGGCGCCCCCATAGTAATTCATTTCTGAAAGCATGATTGACTTGCATAGTTTTACCAGATCCTAGATAAGCAAAAGCTGTAGAGGAAAGTCAGCTTAATCATCCTTTAAAATTCTAGCTCACCAGGTGATTTCCATCCTGTAGAGAACAACGGGGCAGGGTTTCTCAGTGTAGTGACCTTTTAGGCCAGGTAATTCTTTGTTGTGGAGGACTGTCCTGTGCATTGTAGGATGTTTAGCAATATTCTTGACCTCTATCCACTAGCTGCTGGTAGTCCCCCTCCAGATTTAACACCAAAAATGTCTCCATTCAGTGCCAAATGTCCCTGGAGGTAAAAAATGATCCCTGTTTGGGAGCCACCCCTACAGAGAATTTAAGCAAAAGAAAGGTGGATTGGTTTACTCTAGACCCAGACTGTGACTTTTAAGATTTTAAGCATCAGGATTATTGTGTGCTTTATCTTTGTATTAAGAGGGGGAGAAAAAGTTAAATAGTGATAGCACTATGCCAGGAGCACCTGGTGCTCCTCGGGCCCTATTATCCATGTTAGTAGGTGTTGCTGTGTGAATTTCTAGAGAGGCATATTTTATATAAGTAAGTACAAGATGCAGAGTATTTCATGTAACAGTGACTTGCCATTCTCTTTAAAAAATTCCTTTACGTTTTGATTTTCTGTCTTTCATTTTTTAATATCTTTTTTTTTTAGTGGGTAGAGCATTGTTTCTCCTGGCATATCCATTTTCCAGCTAGATACCCTTAAAAGTCTGGTTGGGAAAGTCCTTGCTCTGTAGCTCTACCCTGAAGAATTATCCAATTCAGTGTTTTCATCTTGCTTTTTTGAAAAACAGGTGCCAGAGTGGGTCACCGCTCCTTGATGAGATACTACAAACAGCGATTTGGCTTGTCAAGAGCTGTGGCCGTTGCTAAGAATCAGAAGGCCGTGGGCCGGATACTCCAGCAGTACAGAGCCCTGGGATGGACCGGCAGCACAGGTGTGTTGTTACTTACAACCGTGGACTAGCCCAGAAACTCGTATTACAAGATGGGGTTTGGGTGAAGTCCTTTCCATTTATGTTGTCCTTATGGATCCTCCCTAGAGGAAACTTAACTTCTTGGCTCTGGGAGCTTCCATTACTACTGGATACGTTTATGGCAATGAGCCCAAAGCTCCATTACTTAAAAACTTCACATTCCTGGCACAGTAACTTTCTAAAATGGCATATAGATAATAGTTACAGAAATAAGTACTGAGTAGTCAACAAAGGTTGAAATTACCCTGGAGATTATACAGAGGAATTAACTAGTGTTCTTGTGGCAAATAGCTTGAGCTATGGAGTCAGACATGACTTACTTGATATACTAAGCGGTTCTTACATGATGAGCGTAATTCAAGTCACCTAAGCCTCTGTTTCCTCATTTATAAAATTGGGATAATAAGACCCACCTGGCAGAGTTGTGTGGGTTGACTGTCCTAATGCACGTATGATACAGTACGTGGACATAATAAAGGCTAGCTGTCACTCCTTGTAGTTTTCCCATAGAAAACGTAACAAGAGTTAGAGGAATAAAGCGGGCCTAGAAATTGCTAAGCTTTGAAACCTCATCAATATAAAATTATTTAAATCTATTCTGATGTGTCTGCTCTATGCAGCTCAGTCCTTAGATCTTCGGGGAGCACATCAGGCCACTAAAGGACTGTGGAGTGGACAAAGGAGAGCTCCCTTAGGATGTCATGGAAAGCCCTAGACAGAGAAAATCTGTGTTCAGTGCCACTGTGTTTATATATATATACCCGTGGCTTCCTTCCCTGTGGCTGCCTGTGAGCTGTGAAGCCGCTTAAATCTAGCAGACACTGACTTCATCTTACTCTTGTCAGGAACTACTGTCTGATTCAATTTATAGTCTCCACCTTTCTGTCACCCTTGATCAATGGGGCCTTACCTTTGGGGCTTATAGACCCTTCCAGATAATGAAAACCAGAGAGGCTTCTCCCAGAGAAATGTGTACAAATACAGGTTGTCGTATGCGGTTCTGGGTGCACATGACCCCCACTCCTGTTACGCGGAGACCCAGGTTAGCAGCTCTTCTTTAAATCTAAGAACCCAGTGACCCCGTAACTAGCCTTGAGATGCTCTGTAAAGATTGGATTTTTTTTCTGATCCCCAATAACAAACCTTTGCCTCATTGCTTGTCCCTTTTGCAACCACAGGAGCGGCTCTTCTGCGTGAGCGGGACATGCAGTATGTCCAGAGGATGAAATCCAAGTGGATGCTGAAGACGGGAATGAAGAACAATGCCACCAAGCAGATGCACTTTAGGCCCCAAGTGAGATTCTGAGGGTCTGCCAAGGATTGAGGGATCCGATCCGCCTCTTGCACCAGTGCCCTCGCCTGCGGACCAGCGGGAGCTGGATTGTGTGTCGGACCCTTCTTGCTGCTCCTCTCCCTGTACTTGATCTGTTCTGACCTAAGAATAAAAGTCAGAATCTCGTTGGCTTTTCAATGTCATTTCTGGACAGGGTTCAAAGGTTACGTTTTTACAAAGTGAGTGCTGTGTCTGCTGGGCTCTGGGACCCAAACTCCAGCGTAACTTGTCCCCTCAAGCGGGGTTTAACCTCGCCCGGGCACCGGCACCTACATAAGGGGCTCGGAAGCTGCGGGAGAAGTGGAATGTCACTCATTTGAATGTGTTGTGGCTCGTGAGGTGGCATGAGGCACTTTCACTACGCCCAGGCAAAGGTAGGCAGCATGCCGTGGGCTTGCTAGAAAGGCTCTTTACCTAAATGTGACCACACGAGGCACAACAGCGCTGTGCACTCTGTTTCCGCTGCTGCCTTCCCTTGAGCAGTTAGTTGAGGGAAAAAATCAATGTAAAATGTTTAGATCTCGTTTTAGAAACAAAAACTGACGTCAGGGCTCAACATGAAGAGCTGCTCCATTCAGGTGCCTTGGGGTGGGGGGCAGGGAGGCAGTCATGTGGGAAATGAAGTTAAACAGGAAGCTCAAACCCATTGAGCTATTTTGTGACTTTGGAAAAGTGATTTGGTTTCTTAAATCTGTAAAATGAGATGTTTGTTACCTCTCAGGTTGTTGTGGGGGTGAAATAAGTCAGCCAAAGTAAGTGTTGAAGTTCTGCCTTCTAGAGCAAACCTGCTCCACTGAGGAAGGCTGATGTTCTAGTTGGAGCGGTGGTCTCTCCGTAGTGGGTGCCGGGAGGATGGGCCTGCCCTTACCAGCTACTCACTGGCCCTCGTTTGCAGACAGAGGTCTTTTTCTGTAAACTTTGGATGCAGAGTTTTGAATTAATTCTATTTCCTCTGTACACAGGTTCACTCTCACTAAGCGTGAAGGACTCCCTGGTTTTAATTTTGCTCCTCCAGCCTGTTTTCTAACATTCTTCTCACACAGGTCCCCATTCTCTTGTGTTTGACACATCTTGAAATCTGTATCCTAGGAAAAAGATGTCATGCTTCACATGGGGTAGGTTTTTAAGTGCTTCACTGAGTGTACGTGATTCTGTGCTATAGCTTCTGTCAGTTTTGTTTCTTATTCAGCATTTTGTCCCTCAACATGATATGCTGAGATCATTACCGCTGACACCTGCCGTCTCCAACCGCCCCTGTTTACCACACCAGCCTAGCACGGTCTGTGTACCTTATTTGTACACATACCCTTTTAACTTTGAAGGGTTTTACCTGTGGCGAGTAATGAAGACAGTATGTTTATGTTTGCTGACCAACAAAATACTCCCTCCATTTATCTCCTTCCAGACTTAAGGAGCTACCTTCTTAGTTTGGTTTTGGGTTTGTGGAACAATTCTATATCACTTCTCTCCACATCATGATTTTTTTTGCTTGTTTTAAAGATTTTATTTATTTGACAGAGAGAGACACAGCGAGAGAGGGAACACAAGCAGGGGGAGTGGGAGAGGGAGAAGCAGGCTTCCCGCAGAGCAGGGAGCCCGATGCGGGGCTCAATCCCAGGACCCTGGGACCATGACCTGAGCCGAAGGCAGACGCCTAACGACTGAGCCACCCAGGAGCCCCTCTCCACATCATAATTTTATAAAATACAGTTTATTTGCCTTTGGGAAGGAGGGCAAGGAAAAAAAAATTTAAACATCACCCATACATAGTTAAAAACTTTTTTTTTCTTACACTGAGGACTTTTAATACTACTTTCTTAGCAACTTACAAATATGCAGTATGGTATTATTACTATATTCACCATGCTGTTTATCCCATCCCATGACTTAAAACTGAAAGTTTCTACTTTGACCCACTTTACCCATACATTTCCTTTTGATTAAATCTAGAATTAATCCAAATTAACCCCAAAGTAACTGTTCAATCAAATTGCTATAGATAGTTCCCCTCAACGCCCATTACCCTTAAGTCAGTTGTGTGAACTAACAGTGGGCACCAGAATGCCAGAATAATCCTATCGAAGTTCTTCACCAGTCCCAAGGCAGCGCTGGCTGTTGTGGCTGGCTGACCAGGACATGTGTGCACTCTCCTGCTGGGAGTTCTACCAGGACCAGATGGCCCTGGCAAGTGGATTGGTCTGCTTTAGCTTGAGACATCAAGGCTGGGATCAAAAATGAGAGAGCGTAACCTTGTTCTCTCTGCGTGTAACCAAAGCCCCTGGCCGCTTTGCTGATTGCACTTCCTATCTGCAGACTAGCCACAGGCTTGATGTATTCTTTCTGCTTTGCGGAGTGTGAATTTGTGTTTCATGGAGGACAAAGTGCTTTCGTGCGCCATTTTGTTTCTCGGCTGTGAGGTGTGGGTAGTGTTGCTATTTCAGAGATGAGAAAGTCGATTCAGGGAAGTTCAGTAGCTTGTTTAGGGAGACCCAGAAGGAAACCAGAAATGGTGATTTCTGGTACAGCATTTTTACTATTGCAACACCATCGAACAGAATCCTCAGCAACATCCCATCCTAGGGAGCACACTCTGTGGGGCTATAAACGTTCATGCAAGTGTTAAATTTGCAGCAAGCCATGGAATCTTTTTTGTTTTGTTTTGTTTTAAAGATTTTATTTATTTATTTGACAGAGACAGCGAGAGAGGGAATACAAGCAGGGGGGAGTGGGAGAGGGAGAAGCAGGCTTCCCGCGGAGCAGGGAGCCTGATGCAGGGCTCGATCCCAGGACGCCAGGATCACAACCCGAGCCAAAGGCAGATGCCCAACAACTGAGCCACCCAGGCGCCCCCGTGAAAAGAGTCTTGTTCTAAATCTAGAAATACATAGAATTTAATGTTACACACATGATACATGCATAAATAACATAACTGTTACACACATGAAAGAAAATACCACATTTTCTTTCCTAGAATGTGAGCAAATTTGGCCCCCAACCAATTTTGGTTATTTGTGGATTCTTATTGAAGCTGCTTTCCTCCACCTTAGTTATTTCTAAACTGTTAAGATCCCACTGGAGGGCGCCTGGGTGGCTCAGTCGTTGAGCGTCTGCCTTCGGCTCAGGTCGTGATCCCAGGGTCCTGGGATCAAGTCCCATCGGGCTCCCTGCTCTGCAGGAAGCCTGCTTCTCCCTCTCCCGCTCCCCCTGCTTGTGTTCCTGCTCTCGCTGTGTCTCTCTCTGTCAAAAAAATAAATAAAATCTAAAAAAAAAAAAAAAAAGATCCCATTGGATATTATTTGGAATTCACAATAATTCATTTGGAGACCAGGTAAGAGCTGTATTGCTAACTCTAAATGTGCAGACATTTTTGCAAGAGGATTGCTGGTAGTCCCAGTGAAATTGAAAAGTGCTTGGAAGAATACACGTTATTTCATTTAGACTCATTTGCAATCGGTACATTAATGATGATGCTGAAATTGATGGAGATAAGGAAGATTTGATTAGCTTGCTAATGCTGCAAACATTTGAACTTTAGAATATAATTTATTGATCATTTGTGGGCCAGGCTGTTATTACCAAATCTGTTTTCCTTCTTGCCAGCCAGAAACTACTTCCAGCCTCCCATGAGACCAAGGTATGGTCGTGTGGCTGAATTTGGGCCAACAGTTGTGAGCCGAGGTGATGGATGCAAGTGAAGTTCAGATCATCTCCAATTGTGAGACAAGAGTCATTTTTAGAATCTGCCCCTTTTTCCTCTCACCAGCTGGAAGTGACGGATTGGCCCCTGTCGCCCATGCAGATGAGGCTAACACCTTAGGGGACAGCCAACCAATGGTGTGAGAAGAAACCAGGGTCACAAAATTAAATCATGGAGAAGAGCTGCCCTGAACACCCATGCGGGCTGGACTGTTAGGTGAAAGAAGTTGAAGGCCCTGTGCTGCGGAGTTTCTGTTGTAGGAGCGCAGTTTATAATAGTGTCGAACCCATGATAACACTAATATGACATGGCATGATGCAAATTTATTTAAGCTACAATTAGCAGTTGCTGTTTATTTATTTATTTATTTATTCATTCATTCATTCATTCATTCATTCATTCATTCATTTATGAATGACAGAGGGAGCCAGAGCACAACGCGGGACTCGATCCCAGGACCCTGAGATCATGACCTGAGCCGAAGGCAGATGCTTAACCGACTGAGCCACCCAGGTGCCCCCTAGCAGTTGCTGTTTCTTATCTTCCCTCTTGTCCCTGTTCTCAACCTGAGGTGAGCTAAATTCTCTTATGCACGTTTGGGTTGGGAGACAGGGAAAGGGTGCCTCAAGGTCGTCTGGAATTTAGTCAGAATGGTATTTTCAATACTCTCTTTTCTTATTCTTTTGGAGACAGTACAGACTGAAAACGAATGTTTTAGTTGGCAACTTTACAACACGTCTGCTAATTATTTGGCCCTCCTCCCACAGAGAGGTGGGGTCTACCTTCCCTCTCCTTGAAGCTGGGTTGGCCTTAGTGACTTGCTCATAACCAACAAAAAAGCAACAGGAGTGACACCACTGACTTCCGAGAAGCATCGTAAAATGCAATCCGGCTCCTACCCTGCTTCCTTGGACACTTGACCATCTAAGAATTCTGACTTCTCTAGGAGGTCACGCTATAAGACAGCCCAGGCCGCGCGGAGAAGTCACTGTACGTGCTCTGGTTGACGGTCCCAGCTGAGGCCCCAGTCAGCAGCCAGCACCAGTCACCAGCGTCCGAGGACACCACCTTGCATGTCCAGTCCAGTTGAGTCTTCAGACCACTGCAGTACCCACTGACAGCTGATTGCAACCATCTGGCAAGTGCCAAGCAAAACCGACCCAGGTGAGACCTCCCCAGATTCCTGCCCCACAGAAGCCACGAACAGAAGAAAATAGTTGCCTTCCACCACTCCATTCACCCAGTGGTAGTAACTAGAGCGCCTCCCCGTTACACATCACACGTTCTACATGACTTTGGATTTCCCCTTACCACCTGATGGGGGAGTTTGCCTGTCAATACGGTTTAAGGGCAAGGACTTAATATCCATTGGATTACCTAATTTTTACAATACCCATAAGAAATAATACAATGATTAGTCCCATTTAACGGCTGAAGAATCTCAGGCATGATAGCCCAAGGTCATGCTGCTCTTAATCACTCAATTGTGTCTGCTGAAAAATGAAAGCCGGCTTGAATCATAGAATTTTACACTTTGGTGACACATTTGACTGGCTTCAGTAAATCCCACCATCCCATCTCTTCCCTCCCCCTTACATGCTAGGACCTGGATGCTCAGGAGAGTCTAATGGTGACTCACCTGTGGTATACATTCATCAATGAAAGAGCATGGAAAAGCCTGTTTCTCCACATTGTGTGAGCTGGTCCCTCTACTATTCCACAAAGTCAAACTTTATCAGCTCCTTCAAAATATCTTATAATATTAAAAAAAAAAAAAACCCTTCTAATATAAACTATTTGCAGAGTAAACATGATGCATGTCTTTAGAGGAAAAGAATGCATCCATATTTAGTGTGTACCTAAAACTATATTAAAAGCATTAAAACTATACCCAAAGCATCAACTTTGTGTTTCTTAAAGAAATCTACAATTTTGGTCACATTGACTAAGACCTCTAAATCCTAGATTCAAGGCATTTGTTATGATATTGTTTCCTTATGTTTCATTATTACTATCACATTTGGTACTCAAGTAGCATTTTCACCTGGGGTAATGCATCTTAGACATGTTGTCCTGCCCCAGATTACCCATTTTCTAAACCTCTCATCTGCACATGTGGAAAATAGGTTCTATTTGTAAAAGTGAGGGATTTCAGTTTTTCTGAAGAGACTTCTATAATGCTTAGTGCCAGAAAATGAGAACATTAAATTGACAGTAAGTGGAAACTATTGTAATATTTATGCTTGAAATATGACTCTCCTTACAAAATGTCTTTCCTATTTCTAATTGAATTGAATGAAATTTATTTGGTTAATTGGGTAGTATAGTCCTTTTAGTCATCTTATAAAACTTGGGGAAGTTTTTCCTGGAAATAAACACAAAAATATGTAAAAATTCAGTTGGAATAAAAACTAAAACAAAGAACTTACTAAGAGCCAGGTTTTGTTGTACAACTTTAAGTGGTATTAATTTAGTTAGTCCTCACAACAATGTCATCTCTGAGATAGGAAATATCCCCATCTTCCCGGTGGAAAACTGAGGCACAAAGAAGTCGCCCTGGGGCACCTGGGTGGCTCAGTTGTTAAGCATCTGCCTTTGGGTCAGGTCAGGATCCCAGAGTCCTGGGATCGAGCCCCACATCGGGCTCCCTGCTCTGCGGGAAGCCTGCTTCTCCCTCTCCCACTCTCCCTGCTTGTGTTCCCGCTCTCGCTATCTCTCTCTCTGTCAAATAAATAAATAAAATCTTTAAAAAAAAGAAGTTACCCTGGCTACTAAGGGGCACAGTTGGGGTACTTAATCCAGGTGGGAAGGTTCCAGAGTCTGCTTTTAACCACTACACTAGCAGTTCTTAAATCTTTTGGTCTCCGAACCCATTTACACTTTTTAAAAGTATCGACAACTCGGTAGATCTTTTGTTTTCGTTGGTTACATCTATCGATATGTACTGTATTAGAAATTAAGATCGAGAGACTTTCAAATGTTTATTAATTTATTTTAAAATAATAAAATCATTGCATGTTAACATTACCGTATTTTTATGAAAAATAACTGTGCTTCCTTAAAAAAACCCTAGTGAAAAGGGTGGACCTATTTTACATTTTTGCAAATATCTTTTACAATCCAGCTTAACAGTAGACAACTGGATTGCTACATCTGCTTCTGCATTTTGTCTGTTGTATAACACACATCATGTGGATACTGGAAACTCCACTGAAACCTGATGAGAGAACAAGGGTGGAAAAGGCAAATATATCTTAACATTATTATAAAAAAGCTTCGACTTTGCAAACCCCCTGAAAAGGTCTCAGGGCCACCCAGGGGTCCCCGGATCATCCTTTGAGAACCACTGCACTACATTTTACTTGCTCTCAGTACCCAGGGGCAGTGTCTTAACAAGTACTGAGTACTCCTGAAGAAATAGTGTCACCTTAATTAAATTCCAGGCTGGTGTGTCGCAGAACCACGGCTGCATAGTCTCTGCATAATCAGAGACTAAGGTGCAATTCTGGTTCTGCCTTGGTAGCTCTTGACCTTCGCTAAGTGACCTCGTTACTCTCAGTCTCAGATTCCTGAACTAAAATCGGGCTAGTTACAGATCCCTTGCAGGGATATTGTAGGCCTTCCAAACAATATGCAACAAGGGGCTCACCAGGAGCTAAAGCACAGAGGAGACCTGATCCAGGGTAGCTTCTATTCCAAACTGGCCAGTGATGACCAGGGAAAGAAGAAGGGGGTCACAGCCCGCAAAAGGGGAAGGAAAAGAGAGCCAACAAAGGCAGCTACACAAACCCTTATCTGAGGACCAGATACATATTAAAAGCTGCATGTGTTTAAGGATTCATAAATTTGGGGGTTCTAGGAAGCTAATATGGTGCATATACTGTGTATAATGTCAGATCTCCCTGGGATCTAGAACATCCCAGGGTTCAATGTGATGATTGAACACATTACTATTTCAAGAGAAGAACATACTCCATTCACACCAAGGCCTAGAAAGAGACTCCTGTCTGTGCAGGCCAGGTGTTAATGCCAAGTGATTTACAAAAAAAAATCTTTCAGGGACACCTCGGTGGCTCAGTTGGTTAAGCACCTGACTCTGGATTCCAGCTCAGGTCATGACCTTAGGGTCGTGAGATCAAGGTCTGCATCTGGCTCCACCCTCAGCACAGAGTCTGCCTGAGATTCTCTCCCTCTCCCTCTGCCCCTCCCCCTACTCGCATGTGCACGCTGTCTCTCTCTCTCCCTCTCTCTCTCAAATAAAGAAATATTTTTTAAAAAACCTTTCAGTGTTCAGAGCTCTGGGGATTTGGGGATTACAGGTAAGGGATTTTGGGCCCATATCAGCACCAAGCTCGGGACTGTGTCCATGCAATTTCATTTCATTCTCTCAACTTCATGAGCAAGAAACAGACATCTCAGGATCCAGAAACATCTGCTGCTTTTGTCCTTTCAACCAGCTTTACAGGATCCCCGGATTGGAGCAGTGGCCTCTCACAATCTATGGCCAAATGTTGTTATATTTGGGTGAGGGGAGGGGGACAAGATGTGTGAAGTGTGTGTGTGTGTTTGAAAATGAGCAGATCAGCATCAACAATCATTTTCTTTATTTCTTTTAAACAAATGTCTTAGTGAACGTGTAGAAAGTTCATATCTGGTCTGTTGAAAATCCCCCTGGCCAGGAACCTAATTTCCTGAAGAACAAAGATAAGGTGAGATGATATATTTTGGGTACCAGTAAAATCCATTACCCGCTGCGTTGATAGGGATAGAAACTGAACACACAGTCACATGGGAAAATCTGTACACAAGGCCCCAGACTGATGCTTCGTGTTCATCACCTCCAAGGTACAGAATCTCACACAGAAACGCCTGCCAGTAAACTTCTGAAGAATTTATCAGAATTTGAAATTACACGAGTTTATGATGAGGCTTGAGGATCTTGAGAAACCATTTCCATCACTGGCTTTTGTGGGATTTTATAAGAATTTGTAGCTTCAAAAATAAAAAAAAATTTTTTTAAGGACTTTTTCTGCCTCTACCTGTATTAGGATTCAGAGTTCAGTGGGAAATGCTTTCTGTGTATTTGGACATTGATACATAACACGCACATTGGTAGGCACTTTATTTTGTTGATTCCAACTTAAATACATAAATATTTTTAAATTGTGGTAGACCTCTTTAAGTTTGCCGCTGTCATTAATTCAGTGTCCTGCTATTAAAATGTCCCCTCCCTGGCCAGGCCAAAAAACAGCAAATGTCAAAGACAGGGAAGTACAAAGATTGCCTTTTTGTAATACCGATCTTTAGGTAAGTCGTTATGACTGCTGCAGTGATTTAGGAAGACGTGATTTTCCTCCTTTTTTTCTTCATCTTCCCTTCCACCCTCTCTTCTACCCTCTCTTCAACCCTCCCTCCTTCCTTCCTTCCTTCCTTCCTTCCTTCCTTCCTTCCTTCCTTCCTTCCTTTTTTTCTTCCTCCCTCCCTCCCTTCCTTCCTTCCTGTTGTTTTACCTGTGAAAAGTGGATTTTAAGGTTTCTATAGACAGTAAACCATTGCTACTTTTCCGCTTTCATTATCTAGAATTCCTTTCAGAAAAACAATGACAATCGCAACAGGTAGCTGGACCCAGGGCTTCTCCAAGATCCCTAGTAATGAGTGTGTGATGGTAAAAGCCGAGCTGGGGGTGCCTCTCTGATCTCGGTACCAGGGATGCAGGCAGTCAGCGGGTGCTGGGAGTGGGTGCCAAGTTGAGCAGCCCGGATCCCCGCCTCAGGACCGAGGCCCTCGCTACCCCACTGCCAGGAACACTGACCTCTGGGGTCTCGCCAGGAGTCGGTCTCTGAGAATGGCCCTTAGGGGAAGGACGCTGCCCTGCCCACAGCCACACCCTCCCTGCTTCCAGCAGCTCACCCCTCCGGCTTGATGAGGATGACTCTGATGGCTTTCCCAGCTCCGGAATGCTCCACAGGATGGCCTGAGGCCTTTATCATGACTGCATTGTAGGTCAGCTTCTCCCTCCTTGGACCCCCTTTTCTCTTCCTTATAGGTAGAGATCCCGAGAGCTCGCCCCAGTGAAAGACTTGCATGAAGATTTCCATCTCAGTTTGTGCTCCAGAGAAGCATAACGAACTACTGGTGCCAGGAATGGTCCAAGGAAGGAGATTCTTAACTGGGTCACCAGCTGGCCTGTTGTCGGTGAGGACCCCATCCTGAGGAGAGGGGGGCGGGTGGAGTACGGAGAGTCCCCAACACGCGGAGCGTGTCACTCTCACTGTCACAGCTGAGACTTGCCGCAGACTGCTGGGAGGGCATGCCTCAGTGGGGGCAGGATCCAGGTATTTGAGAGGTTTAAGGGAGGTGGCCGTTGTAAGCACGAGGGAATTGGATGTTCGTTGCTCATGCTATGAAGCGGATTAGAGAAAGGCTGGTGTGATTTATCACCCATTTAAGGCTACATGTGAAAGCCAAAGGGCTTTTTGTATTTTATAAAGACTCACGTCCTGCAGCAGGAGGCAGAAAAGAAGCCAGGATCAAGCCTAGGACTTAATTACCAGACCAGCCCAGCTCCAGAGAAGGTGACATTCTCAAACCCCAGCATGTCTGCTTTGTCAAGGTCGCGGCCCTGTTTGGGAGGGAGTGAGGTGCTGAGACTTGGAATGCAGACATTTGTGTCCATGCACTAAAATCTTGAATCCCCAAATGCCTCTGAGCTCTCTGAGCCCACTCCTCCCTATAAAAAGCTAGTGCTGCCCCCTTGCTTGAAGATGATGCAGAAGCCTCTGCCTTGTGCAAGACAGCATGCTCCCAACTCAGGATGTACCATCCCCGGACACTAGACCAGTAACAAGAATAAGGATCAGCAACTACAACCTACAGACCAAATCTAGGCCCACAGTCTGCTTTTGTAAATAAAGTTTTATTGAAACACAGCCATGCCCATTCAATTACATATTGTCTGTGGCTGCTTTCATGCTACAGTGGGAGAGTTTGAATAGTTGCGATAGAGTCTGCATGGCTCACAAAACCTAAAATATTTCTCATTGGCTCTTTACCCGAAAAGTTTGCTGACCTCTGACCTGGAGTCAAATCATAATAAAACCTAGCAGGAACAGTGCCGGTCCTGATAAGGGAAGAAAGGGAATATGCTCCAAAGAAGATGTGGGACCTAGCCAACAAGTACTAGCAAGAGTGGAAGAGTATTTATGGGAATGAATTCTGAACAACTTAAGGATTAGGGGGGATGGAATATATAGTTAGATAATGGACCGTTTACCCACACGAGAGCACTCTGCTCTGAGATACAGGATTTAACACTCTGTTGGTTGGCTCTTAGAAACTTAGGGAGGCAGTGCCACACTAAGTGGAGGAGATAAGTGAGCAATGCTTTGGCAGACAGAGGAGAAAAAGATCAGAAGGCTCAAAGAAATGGGCATGCCAGAGTGGATATACTCTGTAAAATTGGAAAATGTACCAGTTCACTGTGTTCATGGAGTCATCCAGAGGGCGTACCCCTTACCAGAGCTGTAAGGAATGAGCTGGTGAGCAGGGTAAGCATCAAGGAGAAACTCAACGGGGACTGTCCTCTGCAGGTCAGGGCTGAAATGATAAAAGATGGCATTATAGAACTAGGCTCCCTGAAAGCAATGGGATGATAAGATCTCAGATTGACAGAGCCCAGGTGGCAAAACTTGAACATCAGGAGCAAGGAGGATGCCATTGTAATGAGTGGCAAGAGGCTCTTGGCCATGGAGAGCAATGGATACAATGTGGTGTTCTTAGGGGCAAGATAGAGGGGTAGCTAACAAGGGTAATGCTAACAAACACCCCACTGAAAAGTAAAGGCCAATTTCCAGACCTGAGCCAATCCTTTGCCCCAGAACCTGTTGCCTGAAGGAAAGGCTGGTTTGAGGAAGGATTCTGCTATACCATGGCAGGTGCATATGATAATAATTTCCCTAGCTTTTACCCAGAGGGATCTGTGGCCATTTCCTTGAGTAATTATTGTGCGGGGGGTGTGGGGGGAAGGCAATTCCAGATATTTCAAGGACTCTTGGGCATGGCAATCTCCATTGATATTTAAGGATTTTTATATTTCATCAGGGCACTTTGCTAAAGGGGGGGCTTCTGGGAGGGAAGTAATAAGAAATCCAAGCCCAGTCTAATTCACAGTGGGTTCTTTGGCTCCATAAATCTCCTGTGTGATTATTTGTTCAATCTCTGAAGATACCATTGCAATGAATGTCTTTAGTAGTTGGCAGAATCTTCTTATTGGCCCCTCGGTTTATAGAGTACGATACTGTAGTGAAGAAGGCCACATGGAAGCCTCTGAAACTTCCCCACTATGATCAAGAGAGTAGATAAAAAAACAATATCACATCTTCAACACTGCAAGGGTAGTGGTCTCCACCACGTCCTCATTTAGTTCACCATTCTTCCTTGTTCAAAATCAGGGATCCTGGTTATTGAGAGTGGACCACCATGAAGTCAACTCATTACCTCATGCGTCTATTGCCACTACTGAACATCCAAACTTGTAGCAACAGAAACCAACATTGAGGCTCCTCTCTTCTGGAGGAGATCAACTAGTTACTTGTTAGCAACTTGATTACACAGGATCCTTTCCAATCGGGAAGTGACAATGATGTATCTTGACGGGAATTGGCACATATTCAAGAAGTGACTTTCCCTTTCCCACCCACAGGGACTCCATCAGTACCACCATCTATGAGCTTATGAGATAGGTTGATAAACTGACATGAGATTGTAATGTTACTCTGGGCCAAGGATCCCATTTTATAGCAAAAGAAGAGCTACGATGGGCCCATATCCTTTTGTTGATGCAAAAGCTTTATATTTTAGTGTGGTACCAATAGTTTATTTTTGCTTTTGTTTTGCTTGCCTGAGAAGATGTATCTAGAAAAATGTTTCTATGGCTGATGTCAAAGAAATTGCGGCCTATGTTTTCTTCTGGGAGTTTTATGCTTTCACGTTTAGATCTTTAATCAATTCTGGGTTTGTTTTTGTGTATGGTATAAGAAAGTGGTCAAGTTTCACTCTTTTGCGTGTAACTGTCCCATTTTCCCAGCACCATTTGTTAAAGAGGCTGCCTTTTTCCTACATATATTCTCACCTCCTTTGTCATAGGTTAATTGACCATATAAATATGGGTTTACTTCTGGGCAATCTATTTTGTTCCACTGATCTCTGTGTCAATTTTGTGCCAGTACCATACTGTTTTGTTTAATTAAAAAATGGGCAGATGACCTGAATAGACAAAGACGACATACAGATGCCAAACAAACACATGCAAAGATGCTCAACATCACTCATCATCAGGGAAATGCAAATGAAAATACAGTGAGATATCATTTTACACCTGTCAGAGTGGCTAGGATAAAAAAGACAAGAAATAACAAGTACTGGTGAGAATATGGTGCACTGTTGGTGGAAATGCAAGTTGGTGCAGCCACTGTGGAAAACATTATGGAAGTTTCTCAAAAAATAAAAAATAGGAATACCTTATAATCCAGTAATTCCACTACTGGCTATTTACCCAAAGAAAACACTTATTCAAAAAGGTATATGCACACCTATCTTTATTGCAGCATTATTTCCAGTAGCCAAGTGATGGAAACAACCCAAGTGTCCATCAACAGATGAATGGATAAAGAATATGTGGTATATATACAATGGAATATTACTCAGCCATAAAAAGCATGAAATCTTGCCATTTGCAACAACGTGGATGGACCTAGAGGGTATGATGCTAAGTGAAATAAGTCAGACAAAAAAAGACAAATACCATATGATTTCACTCATATATGGAATCTAAAAAACAAAATGAATGAACAAGCAAAGAAAGAAAGAGACAAACAACAACAACAACAACAACAAAACCAGACTTTTAAATACAGAGAACAAACTGGTGGTTGCCAGAGGGGAGGTAGGGGGAGGGGGATGGGGTGAAATAGATAAAGGGGATTAAGAGGTACAAAATTCCTGTTACAAAATTAATAAGTCACAGAGATGAAAACTACAGCAGAGGGAATATAGTCAGTAAGATTGTAATAACATTGTTTGGTGACAGATGGTTACTATGCTTATTGTGGTGAGCGCTGAGTAATGTATGGAATTGTCAAATTATTATGTTGTACACCTGAAACTAATATAACACTGTATGTTAATTATACTTCAATTCTAAAAGCTGCTAATCAATTTTCCTTCCAATCAAGGTACATCAAAGTGGAATAGTCACACATAACAATTGGACAAAATGTGTCATTAATAAAGTGATTTTTCTGGAAAAAAAACCACACCAGGGATTTAGAGTAAATAATTTTTCCCTTACAAATTGAAAATTAAAATATTTAGTAGTTTCACTCAGTGGAAAACTCTTTGCTGAACACAAAGGGCTTTGTTTCTACGAGAAGGCATCTCTGCACAGAATCTTTCCTTCAGTGAGCTTTTGATGTTTCAATTATTTATTTTTTAATCAAGTTCTAATCTGTTGTTTGGATAGATGTGTCTGAAGTATTTTTAAAATGTACTATGTTTTTAAAATTAGATCTCCATCTGTCATTATGTGGAATGTGTGTGGGCAGATGGTGAATGGACTTATTTTTAACCCCTGAATGCTATTAGCTTGTTTAACTGTATCCCGGGAAAGAAGTGCCATTAGGAGTGGTCTTTTCCTCCTCCTCAAAATTCATTTGGCTCCACTCTGTGATCCCCAGCATCAGATCTTTGAAACAAACAAGTCATTACTTAAACCTCTTTAGAGAAGATCACAGGCAACTGATCTGCAGAACCTATATTCTCTTTCCATCTCCAAATTATTTCTTTGCAACAAGAAAGACATGTTCACTGAATATATCATAGATCTTTTAATTCACTGAATTTCTTTCTTAAGCTGAAGGGTTTTAATGTTCTTTCTATTTAAATTAGTGATAGTGTTAGGTGCCAACAGAACGTGGAAAGTGATGAATCTCTTCATTTCTACATGTTTTTTGATGTTCCTCTTAACCATCGTTTTTTAGGGTTAAATTTTATCAATAAGAAACTTTCCAAACATACACGATGGTACAGAGCATAGTTTAATGAACTTTCATTTACCCATTGCTCAGCATCAACAATTATCAACATGTCATAAATCTTGTTTCATTTACCTATGTCTACTTCTGCCCCATCCTGTGACACCCAAACATGCACGTGCGGGTGCGCACACACACACACACACACACACAATTTCTTCCTCGAATATTTGAAGAAACACCAGACATTGCATCGTTTTCCTCATAAAGTACTTTATATGCATTTAAATAGTAAGACTTTTTTTTTTTTTTTTTTTTAAAGATTTTATTTATTTATTTGACAGAGAGAGACACAGCGAGAGAGGGAACACAAGCAGGGGGAGTGGGAGAGGGAGAAGCAGGCTTCCCGCTGAGCAGGGAGCCCGATGCGGGACTCGATCCCAGGACCCTGGGATCATGACCCGAGCTGAAGGCAGTCGCCCAACCAACTGAGCCACCCAGGCGCCCTAAATAGTAAGACTTTTTAAAAAAAATAACCACCTGGGTATTGTCATCCTCCAATATAACAATATCCTAAATATTCTAATACCCAACCCATATTCAAATTTCCCCAAAGTCATTCTTTTACAGTTGGCCTATTCAAATACTAAGAAACAATAAAGTCCATAAACTGCAATGGTCACCGTCTCTCTTAAGTATTTAGTCTACATCATCCCATCTTCCCTCTCATGCCTTTGCATTTGTTAGAAAAATCAAATGGTTTATCCTTTATGTTCCATATTCTAGAATTGCACAATTGTTTCTCTGTGGTGTTTTTAACTTGTTCCTCTGTCTCTGTACTTCTTATAAACTGGTAATTAGACGTGAGAGTTGATTTGATTAAAGTTCAATTTTTTTTTAAGCTGTAATATTCCTTATTCTGTGAACTTCCTGTGGAATCAGACCATGAACTCATGATGCCCGGTGGCCTCACAGTCAGTAATGCCAATCATCAGTCCAGGTGACGTCAGCACGCTCCGTCTTCCACCAGCCTGTCGGCTTAGCATTTCCCAGCCACCATTGCCAGTGTTTCATTAAAGCTTGAAATGGCAATTTTCTTACTGTCATTCCTCCTGCATTAGTGAGCCACAATTCTTCTATACAGAAGAATGTATTCTCTTCAATTATTTGGCTGCCCAGAAATACAGTGCATATAGGAAAGGCTGGACAAATGCTTGATTCTTTCCGTATATTTATCAATTAGCAGAGTAATGAACTGGTGCCCTCATGACCTCCGATGGCAACTAGTAAGTTTTTTAGAAAGTATCATTATGAACTCACGAATTTCTATATATCGAGTATTTTAATTGAACATGATTCTTTTTGAGAGTCATGGGATCCCATTCAAGTTAGCTTTCTTTTGACATGACCCATTTGGTCTTTGATAGTTTCTTGCCTTTCTGCATTTCAAGATGTCCTGGGTTTATCTTATACGTTTCAGATTCCATATAGATTCCAAAAGGTGATTTACTGGGATGAGAGGAGTTAACTGTTTTGTTTTGTTTTGTTTTTAAGATTTATTTATTTATTTTAGAGAGAGAGAGAATGAGTGGGAGGGGCAGAGGGAGAGAGAATCTAAAGCAGACTCCATGCTGAGCACAGAGCCCGACATGGGGTTCGATCTCAGGACCCTGAAATCACGACTTGAGCCAAAATCAAGAGACGGGCTGCTCAACTGACTACACCACCAAGGCACCCCAGGAGTCAACTCTTTTTAAGATGTTTTGACATGGTGAAAGAGTGCAGGCTTTGGAGCTTGGTAGATCAAGGTTAGAATCTTAGCTCCATTGCTTACTAGTTCTGGACTCTTAAAAAGGCTTTATCTCACAAAATGAGGATAAGAGACTCCGTAAGGAGGAAGTTACAATAATATAGAAAGTTATTTTATCATAATGTTAAGTGGAAAAAGCAGGATTGACACTTCTATACAAAATGCATATGGGAACCACTGTGATCAAATAGGCTAATGTGGTAATGGTGGTATCTTTTGATGGTGGGACTACAGGTCAAGGATCTCTTCTTTATGCCTCATACTATACTTTCCCACATAACCTAGAATGGGAAGAAATAAGATAACTTTATTAAAAGAAAAATAAGCCTCTACCACAAATCCTATAGTGTTGATTAAAATTCATCTGGGATGTGATTCATTGCATACTCTTTTTATATCTCTCATGGTCAATTTAATCTACTTGTCCTTTAACAGAATTTAATGCAAATTGTATAATAAAGAAAAATATTGATGTAACTATACTCTGTCATCTGCTTCCTTTCTCTATGCCATGTCATATTGATTTCAATAGACCAGGTCAAAGCTGAGTGTTTCCTGCTTTCAAGGATGACCTCTGAAGGCCTCATACTATTTTGCCTTCTTGCTCCCAGGGGAGAGTCTCTAATTTCTGGATTGGCAGCTGAAGGCAGAGCAGTAAAAATAGGAAGTAAACTAAAATCTCCATTTGACGTGCTTATAAATCAATTTTCCTACAGGACAGAATTGTTGGTGTTGGTGCTCACTGAAAATAGTCTTATTGATCAGAAACCTAAACCAGTTGGTTTTTTATTCACCTGAGGATTCAGATTGATTCAGGTTGACTTGTAAAACATGAATCCATCTGTAATCCTTTAAAACTATGACAAATGGGGCGCCTGGGTGGCTCAGTTGGTTAAGCGACTGCCTTCGGCTCAGGTCATGATCCTGGAGTCCCGGGATTGAGTCCCGCATCGGGCTCCCTGCTCGGCGGGGAGTCTGCTTCTCCCTCTGACCCTCCTCCCTCTCGTGCTCTCATTCTCTCTCTCTCTCAAATAAATAAATAAAATATTAAAAAAAAAACTATGACAAATAATAAAAAATTCTGTGGAAGTTATCTTCAGAGGTTTCTTTTTTTTTTTTTTTTTAAGCACATGAGAGTGGGGAGGGTCAGAGGGAGAAGCAGACTCCCCACCGAGCAGGGAGCCCGATGCGGGACTCGATCCAGGGACTCCAGGATCATGACCTGAGCCGAAGGCAGTCGCTTAACCAACTGAGCCACCCAGGCGCCCTCTGCAGAGGTTTCTAATCTAGGATTCAATCTGATTTTCAGGGATGAGATTTTGATGTTGGAGTCAAGGGTCATAATTTCCTCTTTTAAAATGTGCAGTGAAATTCTATAGACATTTGGGGCCTAAGAGAGGGTGATAATCACGGATAACATTTTTCTTCCATTTTTTTTCTATTTAAATATATCTTATTTCAAAAGAGAGTTCTTGAGTTTAATTTTGAAAGAGTGTAGGCTAAGTCCTCCTTTGTGGAAACTTGACAAGGGTGGCCTGCCCTATCAATTCTGAACAATGAATTGCCTTTGATAAGTCTTCAGGTGGCTGTGTAAAAAGAAACACATAAAATAAAGTGTCCTGGTAATTGCAGACAACTGGTAGGGGTTGTTTTTGTTTTTTTTTTTTTCACTTTCCTTTCTTATTTCTCCTCAGCAGTGAGCTGATTTGGATGCTGATCTATAGATGAGCTGAACCCAAGCATTTAGCATCAGGATTATTGTCCCTCAAATTGCTGCTTCATTCAACAACACATCTTTAGTGAACATTTGTTCCTGGTGTAGGTTAGCTGTTGAGTGTTACAAATACACTGGTGATGAAGGCAGTGCTGCTCACAAAGGCCCTACAGCCTCGCTAGCTGGACTGTATATACACATACCAGTAAATAAGAGATTAGCAGAGACATGCCGAGTGTGATATGTGATGTGTGATGACAGGGAGCCATCCCTATGGACGGTGTATCAGTCAGGGTTCTCCAGAGAAACAGAACCAACAGCATCTCTCTCTCTCTCTCTCTCTCTCTCTCCGTCTCATTTTAAGGAATTGGCTCATGCAATTGTGGGCAGCTGGGAACAGGTAGGCTGGAGGCCTACAGAAGAGTTGATGTCGCAGACTCTAGTCTGAAGGCAGTACTGAGGCAGAGTTCCCGCTTCCTTGGGGCATCTCAATCTTTGCCTCTTAAGGCCTGCAGCTGATTGAATGAGGCTCACCTGATTCATTCCCATGGCACCAACTCAAGATTCAAAAGGGTATTTAGGCAAAGTAAGTATCCCTCTCACTCTGGACCTCGAGCCACCTTAAGTCCTTCCCCAGAGGCAGTACCTGTAACCAGATTATTGATTTCCTTGTCGAGATGGTCTATGCATTTATGAGCAAATGAGTATAGACACTTTTTAAAAATATACCACTAATAGCGCATTGTTTTTTTTCAGGTAACATAATATCTTGGAGATTTGAATGAAGCTGAATTAAGCTGAAGCTGCCTTGTGTTTGTATGGCTGCAGAATATTCTGTTGTACGAATATGCTGTAATTTACTTAGTCCCTCATCTAGATTGTTTCCAGTCTTGTGTAGTAAAGACAATCTGGTTGTAAATATCCTTGTACACACATTTCCCCTGCATTTCTTTCTTTCTTCTAAAAGGTTTTATTTATTTGTTTATTTTTTTATTTAGAGAGTGTGCATGAGTTGGCGGGGGGGCAGAGGGAGAAGGAGAGAGAGAATCTCAAGCAGACCCTGTGCTGAGCGAGGAGCCCAACGCAGGGCTTTATCTCACGACCCTGAGATCATGACCCGAGCCAAAATCAAGAGTCAGAGGCTTAACTGGCTGAGTCCTCCAGGCACAAGCTCCTGCCTTTCTTTAAGAAAAATTCCTAGAGATAGAATTACTAGGTCAAAGGGTATGTGTGTTTGGAATATTGACATATTAGCAAATTATCCTCCATAGAGGACATGCCAGTTAACACACCTACAACTGGTGGTTTTCAGTTCCAACTTACAAATGTATAAATAAGATATCACAGGAGATATTTTCATATCACATACATGATATCAGGGTATTATACTGGCTGATCCAGTCTCTCCTTTTCTCCCATTGCCCAGTGGCCAACCACCAGCATCTGGAAGTCGGCTGCCTGGGTGTAATCTGAAGAAAGGGAACCAAGTGAAGGCAACTCGCCAATGGAGAGGACCAGCCCCGAGCTTCACCTAGTACCATTTGCTCTGATCAAGTACCAAAGTATTCGACTCCTCTTGGTGACTTGCCCAAGCTCACATGGTTCTTAGGTGTCAGGAGTATACCTCGAACTCTCATTCAAGTTCTTGTTCGACTCTTGATTTCCTGTGACCCTCAGGGGCAGAGATTTGTGACGGTGTCTGAGCTAATTTATCTACATCGCTGACAAGCTGGTTCTTGTGCATTGTTTTGCACAGTGCCTGGTACCTAGTGAGCGCTCAAGCAAACATTCTGCTGCTTTTGGGGGTGTGGCACAGGTGGCTGGGTGGTGGGGAACTGGAGGGACTGGGAGGAGTTGGAAGTCACTGGGACTGGAGGGGAAGCACCAGAGACCGCTTGCATGACGCACCCACCCCCCCACACACACACCTCGTCCTTGCAGCCATGGAATCCAGGCAGTTCCAGCTCCGAGGCTGCATTTGAGTCATGGGGGCAGATGAGCATTTTTCTTAATTGAGCAAGAGCTAATGAGAGCTCTATTTCTTTGAATCTGCCCATTGAACGAGAACAAACACTAATTACCGCTGGGCTGGAAAGGCCAGATACAATTTACCAAATGAGAGGGCATCTTCCCCCAACGGTTAGAAAACAGTGCGCCGAGGGCCGCAGGCTCTCCGGCGGGGAGAGGCCAGCCCTGGCTGCCGCGTTAACTACAGAGCAAAGGCCCCATAAACTGGGAGCTGCGGGGAAGCAATTAAACATGGCGCTGCCCCTGCAGCCATGTTCCAGCAGCTGCCTGGGTCGGGAGCGGTCAGGGCTCAGCGACTCGCAGGACGACTGGGGAATGAGAATGTGCTGCTTTTCTCTGCGGGCGCGAGGAAGGCCCCGGTGGGGGAGCCGGTCTCTCCTGAGTCGGGTGGGATTTGGAGCTCGGGGTGCCTAGCCTCCCCGCCCAGCGCCCCAGCCAGCACCCCCATGGCCCACTGATGGAGGCAGTTAGGCGCATTGGACCCAGCCGGTGGGAAATCTCGACTCCAGGGGAAGCAAGAGGTGTCTGGCTTCTTCTTTTTAACCGTAAATGCAACCTACTATTTCACACATTACAGCTCCCATTCCACCGAATGCCCACTTTTCCTCCTCCACTGTGGGAGCCCAGAGAGTATTTCTATGTCTTTGGGGCTCAGTGAAGTTGGTGGTTATCCTGAATATGTGAGATGGTGTAGTCAGCCGGGCTTATAATAAAAGCATAAGCCCTGGGGCACCTGGGTGGCTCAGGTCATGATCCCAGGGTCCTGGGATCGAGTCCCGCATTGGGCTTCCTGCTTGGCAGGAAGCCTGCTTCTCCCTCTCCCACGCCCCCTGCTTGTGTTCCTGCTCTCGCTCTCTCTCTCTCTCTCTCTCTCTGTCAAATAAATAAATAAAATCTTTAAAAAAAAAAAAGCATAAGCCCCTTCATTTAATGCTGCAAAGTTGAGTTATTGAGGACATGGGCTTTAGTCCATGAAGGACAAGACTGGGTAAGGTCTAGGCATTGATAAGGTTAATGGGTGTGTGGGGGCCCACAAGGCAGAGGCTGCCCCCCGCGGTCCAGCCCCCCATCACACATCCAAACCCGAGTCAGCCGGCACTCACGGCGGCGCCTGCCAAGGGCCCTAACACACATCGGTGCTCCAGCAGGCGCTCGCTCCCCTCAGCCTGGACGCGAGGACCTGCCGCCGCAGGAGGAAATGGCCCACCTCCCGGCCAGTCGGGCCCTGTTTCCTCTTCTCCTGCTCCACCCCCTTGCTCCTGCCCCAGATCCTCTGCGAACCGCGCTGCCCCGCTTGGCAGGCACACAGTCCATCCATGGATTGCTTTGCCTGAATAAACGACATCAAACTGATTAGTAAGTGGTTTCCGTTTCGCCATTTGGTAGGAGAGTAAAGGACAGGACAAGCGGGTTTCTCTCCCCTCTTTTTGACCATCTCCTGCAGGAGCTGGGAGCCTGAGTGTTGACACCAACACCCATGTCCCCAGAGCACCCCCAGGCACCTGCTTGATTCCGGGTGTGTGGCCCAGGCGTGTCTGGGCGTGGACACCTCCTTGGCTCACCCTGTCTGCTCTGTAATCCCGGTCAAGGGGCCACTGCAGTCCCTGTTCCAAGGCTTGGGCCAGATCCTGCTCTGCTCCAGTTCTCTGGGTTTCTGGAAGGACTAGGGCACATTGTCTTAGGACCTATAGGCCTCAAAAAGCATCGTTGTCTGTTTCTCCGTGGTTATGAATTTGATTATCCCAGTTAGAATCTGGGTTCCACCTGTTACTGTATGTCTTCGGGGGAACTACTTACCCTCTTTGTCACCTGGCTTCTGTATCTCTGATCTGTGGGTAACAATCGTACCTGCCTCACAGGACTGTTGTGAAAGTTAAAAGAGACCATGTAAGGGAGTTAGAATGGTGCCTTCTGTGTAGGGAGCACTCCAGCCCCTGAGCATGGTGACCTTATCTTGACCTCTCTCCTGGGGCTCACGCCGGGTTTGGCTGGGACAGCAGCGGGGCGGGCAGGAGGTGGGGGGACACTGCCCTGTTGCCCTTTATTTCTTGCCTTTGCACAAGCAATTTCCCTCTCATTCTGGTACCGAAAAATGTAAAAGGTCCCAAGTCTGTCAACAGAGGAACTGGATGCCCACCGGGGTCACTGCTCAGTGTGAACCCAGTCTGGCAGGTGTGAACCCCGTCTGGCCTTTCCTAGGCCCCTGTGAACAACCCCTGGATCATTCGGGGCATCCTCCGGAGGCCTGTTATATGCACTCTGGTGGCCCTCCGGGGCCTGCTCGCCTATCTGGTCACCTAAAGCCCAGTCAGTGCAGCTCATCTGCCATGATCACCAAATGACTCCTGAACTTTGGGTAAAGACAGGCATTTATGAACATTCTTATCCCCAAGGCTACGCCTCCTAAACGCTTTCCCTTCCAGAAGAACTGCACACCAGCTGCGAGGGGTTCCTCTCCAGATTGGGTGGTGGCGCCGGGCTTTCAGGGACAGTCCCTCCTCCCAACCTCCCTCTTGTCGCAGAGAGCCGTGGGAAAGTGTTCTCTCTGAGCTCCTGGCTGGGCCTGGGCCCTTCCTCCCGCCCCACCTAGGGCCTTTTCCAGCCCTGCTGGGGTCAGTGGGGATGATGGACATGATTTATTTGCCATTATAAATGATGTGGGAAACAAAAGCAAAAGAAAAATTAGATTTCCTTACTAGCTACAGTCCACTGACAAGTCCTTGAAACATGCCGAGTGACATTCCTCTGGGAGCTCAGCTGCCTCGATGTTAATACCTTGCTAAGGGCAAAAGGCAATCTTAGCCCAACCCCCAGGATCCTGTGAGTCTACTTTAACATATAGAAATTCCTCTGGGAACTTCTTTATCTCTACCCCCTCAAGATACATGTTGGCAATCATCCTCCAAGCATATGACCCATCGGTATCATCTGCAGGGTCTCATGACTAAGGTTTTATTAGATGGTAATAAATGACATTTTCCTAACAATAGCTAGCCCCCTCAAGGTCCTGGAAACCTTGCTTCCAAATTCCTCGGACTTACACTATCCCTAACCCCCTCCCAGCGTGAAAGTATATAATGGGCCACTCCTCATGACCCCAGTGCACATCTTTCTGCCGACGGGTCCTGTCCCCTCACTTTAATAAAACCACATTTTTGCACCGAAGACATCTCAAGAATTCTTGGCCGTCGACTCCATACCCCAACATCCTTCCTACATCAATAAATATAATTATTTTTGCATGATGTCAATTATGATGATTTACCTTTTTATTAAGCAGTTGTGATTCTTATTCCCCCCCACTTCAGCTCCAAATAACTATTTTACCTCCTCTTTCATCTTTCCCTTTGACTTAAAATTGCTTTCCTTAGCCTTTTTTAAACCGGCTTTATTGAGGTGCAATTGATAAAGAACTGCACATACTTAATGAGGACAATTTGATGAGTTTGGACACACATAAGCACCCTGATACCATCGCCACAATCAGGGTAATAGACACAGCCAGCACCTCCCAAATTTTCCAGGGTGCCCCCTCTCCTAACACTCAACTTTTGTATGCAGTAAGAAAACTTAATTTTTTTTATTGTGAAGCTCCCTTTCCTTTTACATGAAAATATTTATTGAGCATTCATTTGCTACTAATATTGGCACTTCTAATATTGTTAGAAAAAATAAACTGAAGTATATTAAAAATGTTGGTATTTTTTGAGGACAAATCTACCTGAATCAGGCAGCACCCAAATAGAAGTCAGGAGTGCCTCACCCACAGGAGCCGGGGAGAAACATTTATAGAGACAAGGTGGAAGCTCAATAAGGAAATTATTGATGGGCCACAGCTGAAAGCCTAGCCAGCTGTTGGGGATTGCTTGTTCTTGGATTTGGATTTCGGAACCCCAAGACATTTCCGGCCCTACCATTTGGTTTGCTTACGGAGGGCACCGCAGCATCATTTCCACATCCATCCAATGGCCTCCTGGACTAATTAATTTAACAGTGTCAGTTAAATGAGACCGTTCACCAAATACAAATGGTCGATAATTTCACCATATACATTTCTTTTAAAAAATGAAAATACTTAAAAAAGTTCACAGGGCACCTGGGTGGCACAGTCAGTTAAACTTCCCACTCTTGGTTTCGGCTCAGGTTGTGAACTCAGGGTGGTGAGATCGATCCCTGGGTGGGGCTCCATGCTGGGCACCGCACCTGCTTGAGCTTCTCTCTCTCTCTCTCTCCCTCTGCCCCTCCCCCCACTGGTGCTTGTGCTCACTCCCTCTCTGGAAAAAAAAAGAAAAAAGTTCTTATTAGCTGAGCACAATGTCCACTTCAAGGGGGCGAATCCCACACTTTGGGAACAAGGATTTGGGGATAAAAATCCCACTCCCTACCTGTTTTTCAGTCTCTCTCTTTTCAGTCACACACACACACACACACACACACACACACCTGTGATGGTTTTTTCCCACCTGCACCTGGGTTATGACATAGGGATAAAAACATTTAGGAGGGCTGTTCTCACTGGCAACAGACTCCGGCAGAATCCACGTGGTTACCCTGAACCCTACTTTCCTCATCTTTAAAATGAAGAAATTCAATTTCTTCTCTAAAGTCACTTCCTTATATCCCACAACCCCCCCCCCCCATCCTGAAGAGCTCCAATTTATTGTGGTGATTAATCCAACAAAGGCAAGTTCTTATTTGCATACAAATACAATGCTAATCATGAAGTGCAGATAAAGCTCATCAGAATCAAGATGGGGGGTGCCTGGGTGGCTCAGCCGGTTAAGTGGCTGCCTTTGGCTCAGGTCATGATCCCAGGGTCCTGGGATCGAGCCCCGCATTGGGCTCCCTGCTCAGCGGGCAGCCTGCTTCTCCCTCTCCCTCTGCCTGTCTCTCTGCCTACTTGTTCTCTCTCTCTCTCTCTCTGTCAGATAAATAAATAAAATCTTTAAAAAAAAAAAAAAAGAATCAAGATGGGCTGCCAGGACCCCATCCTTGTGGAGGTGCCCAGACAGGCAAACCTGGGCAGGAGAAATTAAATTTAACTCGAACAGTAGAGCGCTCTCGGTTATCGGCCGCCCCAGGTGTACTGAATGGCGTCTGGCTCCCAAGCACTCAGCGTGGGGAGGCCTTATCGCTCCAGTCCTGGAATTTGGAATCATTATCTATCAGTGCAGAGGGATTAAAAATAATGTTTGGGTGTGATGGACAGTGGCTGGGAGTCGGCCGCACAGTGGCGTTTCTTGTTCGCAGAAAAGAGTCTGGGCAGAGCCAAAGTCAGGAGGCCAAGGCAGGTGACTCAGGACCACCAACAGATTATCACGGTCACCTTGGGAACATTCCTTTGACTTCTTTGCCACTGAGTTTTAGTCGTCATTTTGTAAATAGTTATCATTTGATTTCTTCTTATCTCGCTGTGTTGTGACAAGAATACAATACAATAGGGTGGCAACAGCCTGTTGGAACATTTTGAGTACGAGCCACGTAAATGGTCAATTTTCAGGCCACCACTTTTCAGTATTTATGATATGCTCGATACTGTGAACGGTGATAGCCAACATTAAGCGCTTACTACGTGGCAGCATCGTTATAGGTGTTTTAAATAAATCAATTTATGGTTTAAGTGTTTTGAATATATCAATTTAGTTAATTCTTACAACTTGTAAGATAGGTACTTCATGATTGCCATTTAAGAGATTAGAAAATGAAGGTGAAGTAATATGCCCAAGGTTATAGCTAGTATGTGGCCAAGCTGAGGCTCCAGCTCCCTCTAGAAACTGCCCTCTTTTATTTTTTTTTAAAGACTCGTTTACTTATTTTAGAACCCAATGTGGGGCTCAATTTCATGACCCTGAGATCACGACCTGAGCTGAAACCAA